ATACCCTTAGTTTTTTGACCCGGAGAATTTGGCCAATATTCACGCACTCCGTAGTGTTGTTCAGTAATCAAAACAATTTCACACGAAAGTTGTGGTCCATTTTACAGTCATACAAAATGCAAGACTTTTTCCCTGACTTTAACTCTCTTCTGATGCGATATTCCGTGTCGATTACTTTCAATTGTGGCCTATAGAGCGACTACAAAATTAGAAAACAATAATTTTTTTAGTCCATTTGCACCTCTAAATGTACATCTTAAGAACAATAGGCTTTAATTCTGGTCCTAACCATACCCCCATGCAAAATTTCGTAAGGATCGGCGAAATTTGCGATATGCATATAATACCCTCAAAACGTAGTATTGGGGGTGTAAAAATTTAGAAAATTTACAATTCAAACTTGTATGTCATATTGAAAAAATCGCATGCGATAAAAAATATGACAAAAATTGAAAAAAATCGACAAATGGTATTCACTTTTTTATTGGTATATTTTCCGCGATTTTCTTAGATTTTATGTTTTTCTGGCAAGAGACCATTCCGAATTGATAGGAACTCTGAAAATCGGCCCAGTGGTTATTGATTTATAAGCAGAATAAATAAGATCAATTATTTTATATATATATAGTACCTATTTTGCTATATATCCGATTTCTTGGTATTAGCATCACTATAATGATCAGAAGTGATCTTTAATTGTATATGTGATTTGGCTGGGATTGAAAATATTCGCGACTTAGTGGAAATTTTCCTATTTTCTTACATGAAAGTTAGGGTCTATTTTATCCGCTAATTATTGTCCGATGGTAGTTTTCTGCCCACTCCTAAACTCTAACTGCTGGTAGATTTTCGCGTCTATTGGTTCATAATTGTGGCTTAAGTACCCCCAACCCTTATAATAGCCCCAACACATAGTGTTGTAGGGCATAATAACGAGCATAGCCGGTATATTAGGGTCTATACGACGACGTGAACCGGCATAGGCAACTTTTGTCATAAGCCATTACAATATTTAAATGCGAATCTTGAAAAAAATCGGTGAATAATGTTGTTAAAATCATCAAAGTACCGAAGATGGGGGCTATACCAAAACGTGGATCTACATGGCCCATACCATACCATACCAAAAGTCCTGCAGACACAATATACACATAATAAAATTTTATTAATCTACTTTATTTCGTTCGGAAGCTAGAGTGATTTCCACAGACGGATAGACGGACGGACATCGCTAAATCGACATAGAATTTCATGCTGATCAAGAATATAAATACTTTGTGGGGTCTACTTCGAGGTGTTGCAACAGAATGACAAACCTAATATACCCTCCATACTATTGTGGAGGATATAAAAATTCTATATTTTTTTCAAAATCCTTGAGAAGAATATTGTAACGCATGGTTTTTATCGAAAGATGTCCTTAAAAAGCTTCAAATTTTTTGCACAATTGTTTTTTTTTTAATCGTGAAAATCCCGAATTTGACATGATTTTTTTTTTTTTTTTTTGAAATTACATCCCTTCAAAATTCTGATTTTTTTCAAAATCCTCAAAAAGCTGAATTACCAATTTTCAAAAAATATTCTGAATAACAAGATTCTAATACCGCCCTATTAATATTTTTCCATAAACCTTAAAACATTTTCAATTTGCCTGAAAAAATATAATACCCAGTTCATATTTTCGTCTTTAGCTGTTTTGTGTGTGACGTAATTCCTCGCAAGCTTAGAAGTGTTTGAACATTCACAAATAAGCCCGTGCGTATACGTACTCTCCACACGTATACGCTGCAGTGAACTCAGTTAACTAAAAACACAATATTTTAAAACACACATATGTTAAAAAAATTTTAGGTTAATCGTCTGAGTTACGTTGCTCCGAAAGTTTGTTGGTGTGTTAACAAGCCGACCAAATTTTTCGGATTTTTATATCAAGTTAAAAAGTATCAGGCGTTTTTACCATCACCCACTGTTCGATTATTTACAGCGTGAGATGGAAAAACTGCAACTTCAGACTGCTGTCATCTCTAAGCCACTCGTCCGACAGCTGTTAAAATTATTCCAGTGACAGCTCATTATATTGCTTACAAGCATACAAAAGCATTTTGGTGAGAATTTTCCAGAAAAAATATTATTCGTGATGGAAATCAAGCGAGATAGTGTGATTTCTTTATATTAGTGGACGGAAGAAAACAGCAACATCAGCAGAAATGGTTGGAAAAGTAAAGAAGCGACTTGATCGAAACCTGCGTTGCAGTGGCCGAAAAATGGCTCGTGAGCTGAACATATCGCAATATTCTATTTGGAAAATATTGAAAAATTAGCTCAGGGTAAAGCCATTGAAATTCCAAAAAGTGCAAGAACTTACACCGCAAAAGAAAGAAAATAGACAAAAGAGCTAAAGAGTTGCTTCGCTTGGACGAAAGTGGTAAACTGCCGAATTTGTTTTTATCCGATGAGAAAACATTCGTTGTCCAGCAGTTTGTAAAAAAAAGGATCGTCTTTACTTGCCAAAGAGGTCAGCTGAAAATGTGCACCTTCGGTTGGCCAGCAGAACTCAAGTGCCGGTCATGGTGATAGTGTGGGCCGCCATAACAGCCGATGGTCGCTCTCCGTTCGTATTAATCATCCGTGGCATCAGAATAAATGCCAAATATTATCGCGAAAATATTCTGGATGGTGTATTAAAGCCTTGGGCACAACAAACTTTTTGGCTGCAGATCTTGGACATTCCAACAGGACTCAGCACCTCAATACGCGCACTCAGCACGCTCCACCCAAGAATGGTAACAAAATTAGGTTTCTCGCTTCATTTCCAGCCACAATGGCCACCAAAATCTCCAGATACCAATCAGTTGGGCTATTGTGTCTTTAGTATTTTTGAAAGCAAGGTTGTCACTGAAAAATAACAAAGTGTCGATCACCTCAAGCAAGCGCTTCGCCGGGAATGGGCCAAAATACCGCAGAGCAACATCCGAGCCGAGTGTGACGGTTTAATTGGCCAATTCGAACAAATAGAAACTAATTCTTAAATTTTATGCTATTTCTGATATTTTTTGCTTTCGTTCAATGAAATTAAAAATTATGGCCTTTGACTTTGTTGCAGTTTTTTATTGTAACAGACAAAATCAACTTACATGGCTATTTTTTTTTTCGAGTTTTGCCTTATTAAGGCGAAGATCATATGTTTAATGAATTATGTGTTTGATTTCTCTTTCGAGACGAGCTTAATGATCTGAAATTCGCAGTGAAAAGGAAAGCCAGATAGACACTATCACACACTCACCACTATGCGACGCGTTTCGCCGTTGGTTAAGCGGCTCATCAGGCATATTTGGTGTGGATGATGGCTTACAAGGGCCGTTCTCTGGAAAGTAGTATATATTTCGAACTTATTGCAAATTAGCTCGTCTCGAAAGAGAAATCAAACACATAAATCATAAAACATATGATCTTCGCCTTAATAAGGCAAAACTCAAAAATTCAGCCGAGCCTGGCTGTGGGATTTGAACCGCGGACCTCGGTGTGCAGCCAACTAGAAGCTGCCGTCTCTACGTTCCATTAACCCGTCTTTTTAAAGTAGCACAAAAACAAGTGTATGCATTGGAAGCAATGTAGTTGTTGTGGACAAAAAATCCACCACAACAAAAAAAAAAAAAATTTGCTGTGAAAAAGATCTGCCAATAGAACTTGAGTCGAACCTGGAGAGTTTCTAGTGTATAATTCGCATATGCTAATTTGCAATAAGTTCGAAATATATACAACTTTCCAGAGAACGGCCCTTGTAAGCCATCATCCACACCAAATATGCCTGATGAGCCGCTTAACCAACGGCGAAACGCGTCGCATAGTGGTGAGTGTGTGATAGTGTCTATCTGGCTTTTCTTTTCACTGCGAATTTCAGATCATTAAGCTCGTCTCGAAAGAGAAATCAAACACATTTTTTTTTCGTTGAGGTAAAACGAAAGCATAACAAGTGGAGAAAGATGTAAATGTTTATAAGTGCGGTTGTAAGATTTAAAAGATTTTCTAAAAGAATTTTAGTTTTATATAATTCTCTGGTTCCTCTTCTTTTGAGGTTACGATCTCGTCACTTGGGTAAAAAAGGTTTTTGTCATAGGAGTTATTTTAAAATAACTTCTGGGGAGAATATCCCAGGCAAAAAACAAGGGAACTGATGAGGATTGGTGGCTCTTTCCGAAACCTAGGTATTCCCTGCCTTTCCCCCTGGTAAACCCTTTTTGAAGAAGGTACTTGATGGAGTGGACCGATACTGTCCATTTTTGCACCTGACCTAGCACAGATGCAATTATTAGGATTCGCAACAAAATCGGATTATCCATTCTCATTCTCTGCAGTAAAATATTTATTTATTTATTTTTCTTTTTGAAAATTTCGACCTTTTGTGGGGCACTTACCAGAAGGACCGATATATTTCATCTTACCACCATACTTTTGGTTTATAAATATATTGGGATGAGTGAAATTTGAAGACAATCCGATTCTGTGTGGGTTTGGCCGTATCAAGTGATATATGCCCTCTGTAGCCATATAACTGGGGGTATAACTATAAAAGCAATTGTTTAGTGGAGTAGGGCCTTGGTCGAATTTGTAGTGGAAAATATCCTCTCAAAATTTTTTCAATGTAGACCTATGCGAAGGTACTTTTTATGGTCCTCGCTATATTTTTCGCCTAAATATACTGCATTTCGTTATATTTTTAGGGTTTTGATGTTATTTATTACCAAGCCTCATTTTTTTTATTTTAAGAAAACTTACAACTTCAAGCGTTCTTTATTGAACTTTTCCAGAACTCTAAAATTTTCGAAAATAGGATATTCTTGCAGGCTCTACAGTAGAAAATATATGTTGTAAATATGTATCTGAACCCTTTTCTTCTTGCATTTTCTTACAGATTTTTCCAGCTCAATGGAATTTGCCAAAGCAAAAGAATGACACAATGCTTGATGTGCAACAAAACTGCCTTTTGCTGAGCCTAACAACAACAACAACAACAATATATATATATACGTCCAATAATTAGTCACAACAACGATTACCGCAACTCCTCTTGCGAAGAAAAATATTTGAATAAAACCCAAACATTGGAAAATCTCGAACTAATATCCTTTTACACAACATTATATGGGCACTTGATTTCGTGGCACACAACTAGGATACCGAATAACCACTCAATGCAAACTACCATGTTTAACTATGTCGAGGCTCTGCTGGCACCCAAACTGCAGTACAATGGCCAGTGGTTGAAATCGACAACAACATCACGACCACCAGTAACATCAGACTTTTATCACACACTTGGCCACACAAGCAACCCGCAACCACAACAACAGCAGCAACACGAACAGCGACTACGACAACGACGTGCAACACGCGATAAACAATTCAAAATGGTGGCGGATGACAATGTTCAGCAAAATTTTGCCACTCAACTGAACAATGACAACAACCACATCGCAAACAACAACAACATCAATGGCAGCAGTAAAAATGCAACAGCAACGACATTCCCATCGACATTCGGTCCCATTACACCGGTCATTTCACAGATTCTTGCAACGCCAATGAAAACATCAGCAACAGCTGCCAGCAATGCCATTACCTCAACACGCTCCCCCTACATGCTGCTGACAACGTCAGCCGTAACAGCTGTAACCTCAACATTGGTCAATAGTAGCAGGGTCGATGGTGCGGGTGTGGGTGCGAGTGGTGCGATAGCCATGATTGCTCCATCACCACCCTCGTCCTCCTCGCTAAACATCAGTTTTGCAATGACCTCGCCAACCGCCGCCGCCGCTGCTGTTGCAGCCGTAGCATCGTCCACCCCAGCCACAACCATTACACCCTCAACAGGATCCGTGTTCTTTGAAGGTGATCTCCTGCCAACGGTATTCGTCACTGGCAATGGCAATGGGAACAGCAGGAATAACACAACAACGGTTGCGGGCATGGACGACGATGACAATTTGAATTCGTTCTACTTCTATGAGGTAAGTTTGTGGTCTGTGGGTTGGGGAAATTAAATTGAAATGAAAAAAAAAAAAAATAATTTTAAATATTTTTTGGAACATTATTCAGATATTCTAAAAAATTATGATTTTCCTTAAACTGAATACACAACAGGTTTTATAAGAATCGTTTCCTCACTACAGAACTATTTTTTATTAATTATTTCGAAAAATTAATTAATTATTTCGAAAAAAAAAAATAGATATAATCCCCGTTACAATTATGTGGACTATGACCTTTTTTGGGTCACAAACCCCTTAATGGAATGGGGGTTACGCCAAAAAAAAAAAAAAAAAAAAAAAAAAAATATTCATGATGCCCAGAAAAAAAAAACGGCTCGGTAAAAATACAAAAAAAAAAAAATCCTTTGTTTCGGACCGGAACTTTTTTTGGCCGTACCCTCTCTAGACATATGACTGAGGATATAAAAGCGCGAATATATTTCTTATGCTAATTTTTTTAAACCCTCAGTCATATGGCTAGAGAGGGTATATATCATTTGATACGGTCAAAACGTGCCTAGTCGAAATAACGGTTTTAGACCCTAGGACTCTTTGGACCAAATCCGTTTCAGAACATTTGGAGTCGATCTAGCGATGTCCGTCCGTCCGTCTGTCTGTCTGGCTGGCTGGTGCGCACGATAACTCTTGAAGGGAGTATCCGATTTGGTCCAAACTTGATACATCGTAATATTTTTGTCAAACTTAGATCGAGTTCGGAGATGGGCAATATCGGTCCACTCCTTCTGGTACCTCCCCCACAAAAGGTCGAAATTTTCAAAAAAATTATTTTTTGCACAGAAAGAGAAGCGATAAACCGATTTTGCCCCAACTTTGCAAATCTTAATATTTGCGTCAGTGTTAGGTCAAGTGTGAAAATGGACAATATCGGTCCACTCCATCAAGTACCTCCCCCACAAATGGTCAAAATTTTGAATAATTACAACTCTCATAATATGTGATGTAAGACTCCGATTGTCTTCAAATTTCACACATGCTAATATTTATGTTAGCCCAAGGTCTGATGTTAAGATGGAATATATCGGTCTATTCCTTCTGGTACCTCCCCCACAAATGGTCGAAATTTTAACAAATATATATTTTTTGCACAGAAAGAGAAACGATAATCCAATTTTGCTCAAACTTTGCAAATCTTAATATTTGCGTAAGTGCTAGGTCAATTGTAAAAATGGACAATATCGGTCAACTCCTTCTGGTACCTCCCCCACAAAGGGTCGAAATTTTAAATAATTACAACTCTCATAAAATGTGATGTAAGAGTCTGATTATCTTCAAATTTCACACATCTCAATATTTATATTAACCCAAGGTCTGGTGTTAAGATGGGATATATCGGTCCACTCCTTCTGGTACCTCCCACACAAATGATCAAGATTTTCAAAAAAATAAAATATATAAAAAAAAATATTTTCTGCACAGAAAGAGAATCGATAATCCGATTTTGTTCCAACTTTGCAAATCCTGATATTTACGTCAGTTCTAGGTGAGGTGCAAAAATGGATAATATAGGTCCACTCCATCAAGTACCTCCCCCACAAAGGGTCAAAATTTTGAATAATTACAACTCTTATAAACTGACCTGTAAAAGTATGATTGTCTTCGAATTCCACACATCCCAATCATTTTATTACCCCAAGGTCTGGTGTTAAGGTGAAATACATTGGTCCACTCCTACTGGTACCTCCTCCAAAAAGCTAGAAAATTTCCAAAAAAAAAAAAAATAAATAAATAAATAAACTACACAGGAAGAGAAAGAATAATCCGATTTTCCTCCAACTTTGCAAATCCTAATATTTGCATCAGTGCTAGGTGCGAAAATTGGCAATGTCGGTCCACTCCATCAAGTACCTTCCTCGCAAAGGGTCAAAATTTTGAATAATTACAACTCTTATAAAATGGGCTGTACGAGTCTGATTGTCTTCAAATTTCACATATCCCAATAATTTTATTAACCAAGGTCTGGTGTTAAAGTGGAATACATTGGTCCACTCCTTCTGGTATCTACCCTCTTCTGTAAAGTAGCTCGCCTAAGAGGCCTCTGCTGTAGGGTAGCTGGCCTCTACTGTAACGTAGCTGGCAATGGAGGTCACTGTAGGCCTCTTAAAGCTTTTTTACAGATAGGAGATCTGTTATTCTGATTTGTTAGACTCCAGCAAATAGGACTTCAAGCATAACTCAGACCAAGGTTGATCGTTTATTTAGACTCGTATTAAGGCTGATGAATTTTTTAGACTCCTACTGAGCTTTGTAGTGCTCCTCAGACACCAACCAAAGCTTTTACATTTTTTAGGCTCGTGACATCGAAATTTTCAAAAAAAAAAAAAAAAAAACAATGCTCAGGAAGAGAAAGGATAATCCGATTTTTCTCCTACTTTGTAAATCCTAATACTTGCATCAGTGCAAGGTCAGGTGCGGAAATGGGCAATGTCGGTCCACTCCATCAAGTACCTCCTCCACAAGGGGTTAAAATTTTGTCACTCAGTTTGTAACACCACGAAATATAAATTTTAGACCCCACAAAAGATATATATTCTTGATCTGCATAAAATTCGATGTATATTTAAGGATGTCCGTATATGTGTCTGTCCGTCTGTGGAAATCACTCAAGCTTCCGAACAAATTGAAGTAGGTTGATAAAATTTTATTCAAATGTGCGTATGGTCTGTGGGGACTTTTGGTATTGAAAATGGGCTATGTAAGGCCAGGTATCCGTATAGCCCCCAATGTAACTGTATCTCCCTATGTTCGGTATTTTGACGATTTTAGCGACATTATTCACCGGAATTTTTTTCAAATTTGAAGTTCCTAATAGGTACTACAACCTGTGACAGAAAATTGCCCATGCAGGTCTAGGTCTTCGTATAGCCCCCATATAAGGGTGCTTCGCTATATTCGGTATTTTGATGATTTTAGATACTTTATCCGCAGGAATTGTTTCAAATTTCGTACTTGCACTTCGTAATGGGTTAAGTCTGTCTATCGGTACCTCCCTATATTCGATATTTCAACGACGTTATTCACCGGAATCTTCCAATAAGTAGTATGTGCTACAGCCTGTGACATAAAATAGTCTACACATGTCCACGTCTTTGCATAGCCCCCCGATATCTGTACCTCCCTTTATTTAGTATTTTGATGATTTTAGCTACATTATTCACTGGAATTGTTTCAAATTTCGTATTTTCACTTCATAACGAATACTACTACATGTGACAGAAAATTGCTCATGCAGGTCCAGGTCTTCGTATAGCCCATATACCTCCCTTTATTCGATATTTTGATTATATAAGCGACATTATTCACCGGAATTACTTCAAATTTCGTATTTAAAGTTTGCAAAGGGTTCTGCAGCCTGTCACAAAAAATTGCGTGTGCAGATCTACGCCTTTGTATAACCCTCAGACCACAGAACCACCTGATATTCAATATCTTGATAAATTTTTGGGGAATTTTTCATAGGAATTGTTTAAAATTTTGTATTTGAAGTTCTTAATGGGTACTACAGCCTATGATTGAAAATTGCCTTTTTTATGATTTTAGTGGCGTTATTCACGGAAATTGTTTCAAATTTCGTATTTGATGTTCGGAATCGGTACTACAGTCTATGATCAAATATTACTTTTGAAGGACCGCATCTTCGTATATCCCCTATATAGGGGCTTTTATTTAGGAAGTATTTTCTGCGGAATTTTTTGAAAATTTTCAAGTTCTTGCAAAATGGTGGAGGGTATTAAAAGTTCGGCCCGGGCGAACTTTGCTGATTTTTTACTTCTTTAATATAATACTTCTCGAAGTGATATCATGCACTCTATATAAATGTTATTCGGTATGAGAGGTAAAAATGCGTCGGTCAAATTTGATGAAATTCGATTCAGAATCGGATATATCTCCCATAAGAAGCTCTAATAAATATGCATAGAGGTGTAGTGTATCATATAGTCAGCCCTGTCCGATTTTTGACGTTTCCTTACTGGTTTATTAGAAAGAGAACTCCTCCCTGAAGGTGTACACAAATCGGTCAGATTGAGGGACGGTCATGATTAGGTCGACGCCAAATATTCTGAAGTGGATTTTGTCCAAAGATACCGAATTTATAATCGTCATATCCATAGAACTCATTTTGGCTATTCCAAATAATATATACCCTCTGCAGCTAGGCTTATATGTACATAAGGATACATATTCTCGCATTTTCGCATTTTCAAGCAAAAAAAGAAAACCGACTTAATATAATCATTAAACAAGTAAAAAAGCTGTAAGTTCGGCAGGGCCGATCTTTGAATATCCTCCACCATTTGGAACTAATTTTGCAATTTTTTTAAGAAATAAATAAATAAAAAATTCTATTAAGATCTTAAAAATACCGAATGTAGCCGTTATATAATGGCGTCTATACGTAGATGTGGACCTGCGTAGGCATAAGCCATTAGAATATTAAAATGCGAAACTTGAAAAAATCGGTGAATAATGAAGCTAAAATCATCAAAATATCGAATATATGGAGGTACCATTATATGGGGGCTATACCAAAACGTGGACCTACACGGACAATTTTCAATACCAAAAGTCCTGCAGACATAATATACAATTGAGTAAAATGTTATCAATCTACTTCATTTCGTTCGGAAGCTAGAGTGATTTCCACAGACGGACAGACGGACGGATATCGCTAAATCGACATAGAATTATATGCTGATTCAGAATATATGTACTTTGGAGGTCAAAAATGTATGTTTCCAGGTGTTACACATGGAATGACAAACTTTATATACCCTCCATACTATGGTGGAGGGTATAAAAACCCACTAAGAAAAATAAGTGAAACATCGATTTCTCAAATGACAGTAGTCAATTTTTATACCCTACACCACAAGGTGTTCAGGGTATTATGTCTTTGTACATTTGTTTGTAACAGGCAAAAGGAAACGAGATAGACCCATAGTTCCTTTTGATGATCTGCA